TCGTCCTCCTCCTGCTCCTCCTCCTCCTCCTCCTCATCCTCCTCCTGCTCCTGCTCCTGCTCCTGCTCCTCTCCTCCTCCCCCTCCTCATGTTCCTCCTATTCCTCCTCCTCCTCCTCCTCCTCCGCCTCATCCTCTTCCTCCTCCTCCTCCTTTTCCTCCTCCTCCTCCTCCTCCTCCGCCTCCTCCTTTCCTTTTCCTCCTCCTCTTCCTCCTCGTCCTCCTCCTCCTCCACCTCGTCGTCACCCAGGCCCGACTGGGATCAGGGCACCTCGGCCCCCACGACGCCTGCGCCCTGGGGGCAGCCAGCCCTCGCGCGCAGGGAGGGGCGAGGACCCCCCAAGCGGGGGGGGAGGCCCTCGCGGCTGCGGGCGCGGGCGGCCAGCGGGGGCGCGGCAAGGCGGGGGGAGCAGGCGCGGAGGACGATGGGGGGGTGGAGGGAGAAGAGGAGGAGCAGGCGCGGAGGACGACGGCGGGACGCCGACTTCGTGAGTGCACCCGCGGCATTTGGCCCCCGCGCCGCAGCATTCGGTCGTGCCCATGCTCAAAAGTGCGGCACCCTCTTCCCGCACGTTCTCACTTGAGCTGCAAGGTTAGCTGCGCATGTTTTTGAACATGTTGCATCGCGACGAACTGCGCTTCCAAGGAGCGCTCGAACCTGTTGATGCGACAGCTGACGCGGGCCGCGCTACTCAGATGAGCGCCATGGAAATGATGCATGTCGAAAGCGAAAACAACTGCGGTATCCAAGCGCCTCCACCCCCTTATTCGGGCCAAGCGAGGCGCGGCATGTCAGAGCCGACGGGCGCGTGGTGATGACGACGGCGGAAGAGTTCGGGCCCGAAGGCGACAGGTAGAGCCGAAAAAGTTCAGGTCCAACGACCCTGCGAAAGACAACTATCTCGCAGCAAGTCGCCCTGTGCTGCAGCGGCGTAACAACGACGGTGACCTTGTCGACGACGATGCGACGCGGATTCAACAGGGGGCCGCGGACAGGAAAGGTTACTAACGGGCGGCCGCTCTTCAGCAGCGATTATGGCATCTTTTCCCCCTATTGGAGCGAGCCATTGTTGGCGGCAGCGCTTCCACGCGATGGATGAAGTCGCGAGATATGCCATGACGCGCGCAAACTGGCCATCGGTCGCGGCATCAACGTTTACAGAAGCTCTCGCTGCAACTAGCGTTCCAACACGACGCGCGGCTTGCGTATCTGCCGCCATTTCCACAAGATAGTGGCATGATGCAGATGAATTGAGACAACAAACTTCAAAAGAGCATACGCCCCGCACGCGCGGGAAGATGCCGCGTGGCTGCATGGGATTATTCCGCGGCGCAGAGTGCGGCATGGCTGGGCGCATGGCTGGGCGCACATCCTGGAGAAGGGCCCACCAAATATGCGGCGCTCGCGTCGGCGCAGGGCAACGTCGACGCGCAAGACATCAAACAGGTGCTGCCTCAGTCATTTGCCATAAGGACGCAGTTCCCAGCAAAAGTGTGGCATGATGATGCTGCTACTGTATGTTCACCATTGCTCATGATAGGTATCTCAGACGTGCATAATATAAACCGTTGACCTTTCAGACAATGAACGCAAGGGAACTAGAGAAAAAGGAGGGACGACGACCACGAGCCTCTGCCTTTCCCCTCTCACGTCAGAAGGGCCCGCGGTACCGTAAGTCGGCGGCATCCGTCTCTGACGCTACAACAACTGCGGCGACGGCGGCAGGGAGCGAGCAAGAGAAGCAATTCAATAACTCCCCCCGCGGCGGGACGCGCAGGCCCCACGTTTGAGCCTACCCCTGGGAGCTCCACGGGTTCCCGGCACCCCCCGAGGCACTTTGGCCCCCCGCAGCGCCAGCCCCAAACAACTTTTACAACGCCAGGGGAGGGGGCGCCGACACTGCCGTCGGACCTCCCTTTGAGGTAAGCAGAATCGGACCGACATATCCCATATATAAACTCCTGGCGCCAATTGAACGTTGATGCCCGGGCACAGGCACATTGCCCGCTTGTTACAGAGCACGAATTGCGGCCCCGTCTGAGCCGTTGACGGCAACTCTACCTTCCCCTCGTACGATTACCACGGTTGAAACATTGTTCATATTCGCCCGCAGTTGATAGATGCCACCTGCCTCTGGCATCATTTAACACATGCTTACCTCCATCATGTGCATCACGATGGGCCCCGGCATTCCGCCTCTGATTGCAATCACGAGGAAAGAGAAACAATAGGAAAGTCGAAAATCATGGTTGTTCTACACCCTCCAATTAAAATCGCGCACCGCATGGAGGGCGACGTCGACTTTGCGTCCTCTGGGGCGATTAAAAGAAGGACATCATGGAGGGCGCGAGAGAGATGTTCTTGCGACCTCCACTGTACATCGCGCAAGGCACAGTAGAATGGCGGGCGAGTACACATGGCGCGCCGGAGCGCCTTCCGGTCGCGGACCTTCGTCTTTGCCGCTGGCGCCGCCTTGGCGGCCGGCGGCGCGGGCGTCGCGGCGGCGGCGGCGGCCGCCGCGCCTGCGGGCTGCGGCGGCTCAAGAGAGGGTTGGTAGACTGGGAGCCGGCGGCAAACCGTCAACCAGGTTACCGCCCAGACCCTCGCAGAGCTCAGAGCGCGTAGTAATGTTCGGAATACAAGGTGTAGTTTTCTTGAATACCAGCTTGAAAATTCGAGAAAAAAATTGTTTGTTTTCACTCCGACGTCGGTTCCCCCGAACGCAGCTAGGGACCTAGAAATTTCGCTGGCGAACGCGGCATAACCTACAACAGGTGCGAAAAATCTTGGTGCTCAAAACGATTTGTCACATCTCTCACAATCTTCCAAAAACCGACCCCAGGTCATCACATTGCCCACCCTGGCAGGGTCGGACTAGCTCCACCCCGCGCCGGAAATCTTCTATCCTATCTAAGAGAGGGTCGTTAGACTGGGCGCCGGCGGTAAACTGTCAACCAGGTTACCGCCGGAGATTTCGTAGAGCTCCGCACGCAAATCCCACCAGCCCTCTGGGCGCAGGTGGTATAGAGAGTTTCTTTTTCCACCCCTCCTTCTTCCCCTTCGGGGAGGGGCTCACCCCTCCCCCTAACCCCCTCCCCTGGACATGGACGGGGCGTTTCGCGAGCGGTCAGAGGGTACTTTTTCGCCCAAAATGGTTCCAAGAGCGCTTCGGAAAGCCAAAGATAACCTCCAAGATTGATCCACATAGCTCACGATACCTCAAGATGGCTACTAAAAGGCTCCAAGAGGCCCCAAGACCATCCCAAGACCGCCCCAAGAGGCCAAATATCTTTCCGAGGAGGCCTCCCAGAGGCAAAAGTTCTTTGAAAACCTGAGGAGAACCAATGATGTGTGCTTTCTCGTCGTTTCGCTTCCGATGGCCATCCGAGGCCTCAAGATGGCTCCAAAATGGCTCAAGAAAGCCCCAGGAGGGGCCCCAATGAGCCCTAAGACGGCCCCAACAGCGCCCATGAGCGCTCAGGAAGAAGGAGGGGAGGGATCAAGAAAGGCATTGTCATCTCTGAAAGAAAAATATGTTGGTTCGAACTCTGGGAGCAGACGGAGTTCACACATCTAGATACATGAGACTAGCGCGTCCAATAATTTCCGTCCGATTGCTGCGACGACCAGCTCAGTAGCCCATCTTCAGCACGAGTCAAGTCAGGAGAACCATGAATATATCTTAAACATTAGCAGGGTACGAATAGTTTTTCAGACCCAGCTCTGGTAGCAGCTCGGGCAGTTACATTCTCGAGACTAGCGTTTCTGATGATTTCCTTCCGATTGATGATCCAAACAGCTCTGTAGCACACCTGCAGTTCGAGTTTTGTCATGTACACCAGCACCATCTCCAAAAAAAACAGAATACGAATAGCTTGTCGGACAAAGCTCTGGTAGCAGGTCGAGTTCAGGCATCTAGATACTTTGAACTAACGCGTCGGATGATGTCCTTCCGATTGAAGTGCCTGACAGCTCTGTATCCCATTTGCAGCTCGAGTAATCAGAAAAAAACTCATCGGCATCTACAATAAATTAGCAGAGCACGAACAGTTTTGGGGGGGCAGCTCTGGTAGCAGACCGAGTTCAGACACCTAGATACTTGCAACGAACGCGCCTGACGATTCTAGATCGATTAGGTGTGCGTACCCGCTCTGTAGATCATCTGCAGCTCGAGTTAAGTTGAGAAAACCAACAGCACCTGTCCAGATGACACTGAAGAGCCGACGCCGCCAGAATGCTTTCTGGCAGTAATAGGTACCCGATCGACCTGAGATTAAGACGGCGAGCGGGAATAATATCGCATATGATGAGAAAAATACTAGAACTCTAACGAATGCTCAAATTCCGAGAAAACGAATTAAAACCGAGCAAATTCTGCAAAACTTCCGTCAAGATTTCTTTGCCAGCTAGCCCCCCAGCGCGCCGGAATTACTCTTCTATCTTCGCCGCTAACGCTCTTAGGGAAGCTCTACGAGTCAATTGTCAAATCTTTCAGAATGATCGAAAACTGGGAGCCGGAGGTAAACCGTGCACCAGGTTGCGTCTTTTGCGAAGGCCGGTTCGAGCTCCCATGGGAGCAGGCCTAAGCACAAAGAACCTAAACAGCGAAGCTGTACAGGAAGACAGCGAAGCTGCAAAGATTAAAGCAGAGGTGCATCAAACAGCGAGGCTGCACAGACATGCACAAGACTGCCAATACGCTAGAATATAACACCAAAACAGTGAGACGCAGTAACCACTGGTTTATACAGCGACCACACGAGAAGCAGCGAGAGACCATACAGTAACCACTGGTTTATACAGCGATCACCGTCTCAACACCACTGAGAATGCACATGGGATTAAAGGTCAGGATGCATGCAAGAAATGCAAACTGAATTATGAACGCACACACACAAACAGACAAAGTGAATTAAAGCATGAACAGGCAACATACGGAGTGGATATGCAAATTGCAAAAAGGATATGCAATGAACTGATAAGTTGGAAGCTCACTGAACTCATGACATTAAACGTGCAATGAACGCATGAGGTTGGAAATTCAACTCAGGAAACTTGCCTTCCAACATATGTTGAAGCACGCCCAGAAACTTGCATTCAAACATCTGCGAAAGAGACTCGCATCCCAACATCTGCTGAAGAAACGCCTGTCCCAACTGAACCGAGAAATCGGCGCGTATCTTGCAACGTCCATTGGCTGAAATCCTCCTTCCAAAAACTTGCATGAACATGTTCGCCCAGAGTTCTAGGCCCACCTTGCACCACAATGAGGTCTTGCAGGATGCCCTCAACAACGGCATCGCGCGTTGCCCTTTGCCTGGTGAAACCGTGAATTTCTGATATTTTCAATATGGTACACATATAGAACACACCAAAAAGAATGTCGTGATTGAGGCAATACCCGTAACCGAGCTTCCGGCACTGAGTCTTAGAGGCAACTGGAGTGCCGAACTTTCTGCCCAGACATCTGGCGAGACGAAACACGTTTTGTGACGTGAAGCTCATGCGAAGCATGTCATCTATCAAGTAACTTCGCCCGTGCACTCCAACCTCAATTACGAACTGATCAAACTGCTCCATTTTATCTGGCACCCTAACCTCAGATCGATTCACTCGCGCGCAAGTTGTTGCACTACCAGCTGAAGAGACTCGCATTCCAACCTCCGCATCTTGTTCTGCTGAAGAAACTTGCAATCCAACATCTGCTGGAGAAAATTGCATTCCAACGTCTGTTGAAGCACTCCCAGAAACGTGCATTCCAACATCTGCTGACGAAACATGCATGCCAACATCTTGTTCTGCTGAAGAAACGTGCAATCCAACATCTGCTGAAGAAACTTGCATTCCAACGCCTGTTGAAGCACTCACAGAAACGTGCATTTCAACCTCTGCTGAAGAAACATGCATGCCAACATCTTGCTCTGCTGAAGAAACTTGCAATCTCACATTTGCTGAAGAAACTTGCATTCCAACGCCTGTTGAAGCACTCCCAGAAACGTGCCTTCCAACATCTGCTGAAGAAACATGCATGCCAACATCTGCTGAAGAAACTTGCGTTCCCACGTCTGCTGAAGAAACTTGCATCGCAACATCTGCTGAAGCACTCCCAGAAACTTGCATTCCAACATCTGCTGAAGAAACCTGCATGCCAACATCTGCAGTAGGAACGTGCATTCCAACAGCTGCCGAAGAAACTGGCGCCCCAACATTTTGCCGAGGGGAAGACTTTGCCAAGCTTGCGTAGGGATCTTCCGTCCTGGAACCACTAATTTCATGTTCCTCCTTTCCACAAATGGCATCAAAAAGATAAATCGCACTCCCTGCAGAGAAGCCCGAATGCGCGAGACCACATGAAGCAGATGCCGCCTCCTCCTCCTCCAAATCGTCAAAAACAGCAGCTGAGCTACCCTCGGAAGTAGAATCGAGATATCGAAAATATCGGGGAGCATATATCTTCTGCACACAAACGCCCTGCCGCAACTCTGATCCATATTTAATATACCTCGGAGCCACAACTCTGAATTCCAATGCGCCAAACAATGAGATCACGCGCGGCGTCTCTCTGGCTCGCTCCAATTCGGCGACTCTCTTTTGGAGCGTCCTCACTGTTGAGCAAAGCCAATTGACAACTTATGAAGAAACGACCATATGAGAACAAAGAGATACACAAATTCGACAATCAATAAGAGTGTACGGTACTCAGGCAAAACAGACACTGAAGCACCGTGTACGGTAAAGAGAACCAAACGCCAGGCACGGCACGATGCCGCTCGAGGGGGCCTCCGACGGGCCAGGTCGCCGCTGAGATCCCGAGGAGGGACAGCAGCAACCTGGTCACCGCCAGGAACCTCGTAGAGCTTGAGCGCGCAGATCAGCGCCGAGATGACGAGTAGAGAGGGTTCTAGAATGTCAGATTAAACCTCCCAAAATATTTGTCTCTGTTTTACACGACCTCGGTTCCGCCAAGTCTATTGAAGTAATACTGCAGCTACAGACCTGAGAATTTCACTGGCAGACGCGGCATAACCTACTACAGGTGCGAGAAAGACCGGTCCTTAAAACGAATGGTCAAATCTCTGACAATCTTCGAAAAACCGACGCCAGGTCACGACATTGTCCGCCCGGGCCGGGTGGGCCAACTAGCTCCATCCCGCGCCGGAATTCCTCTAGCTCATCGATGCCGAAGAGCTCTACGAGGGACGATCAATCTGACACGTGCCTACTACACGACGTGGCCATGTAGCTCGTTTATTCTTATCGGTCTAAGGGAACTTATGGGGACCAGCTACCAGAAATCAGATTAGTATGTCGCCCCTTATCACAAACGACGTGTGTGTTACCATCTTAGCAAGCCTCACTCTTCCAGGTTGTACCCGATATGCTCATACGTGAACCTATCTCGATTGATTGCTTGATTTCTCAGCTTGAGTTTCTGAGAACACAATTATTTCGAAAAGAAATCCTCACCCATACTTTCGATGTTGTAGTTGCTGACCTGCTCACTCGAGAAAGAGATGCAGAAGAATGCACTAGAGCGAGAAGAGAGCGTTCTCGGAAGTCAGATTCAGAACTCAAAAAATAAAGATTCGGGTGACATAAGATTTGCGTTCCTTCACGTGTTCTCGCTGATACAGCAGCTAAGGCCGTTAGAATTTCACTGGCAGTAACTACTACACATTTGAGCAATACTGATCTTGAAACGAGGTTGCAATATCTCACAATCTTCGAAAAAGCGAACGCCAGATCATCTAATTGTCCACCTGGGCCGGATGGATCGAATTCCTCTGCTCATCGATGCTGAAGAGCTATGAGATAAACGCACCCCAACAATAGAAAGGTGTTGCATGTTTGTTTTTTACTGCATAACAGCTACGGACCTGAAAATTCGACAGGCAAGCGCGCCACAACTCCTTCACGTTACAAAAATAGCGGTTCTCAAAACGAATGTTCGAATCTCTGAAAATCTTCCAAAAATCAAGCCCGGATCGTCATATTGTCCGCCGGGTAGTTATATTGCAGCTACAGCTCAGAATTTACCCCACGCGCCACAACATGCTACACGTGTAAGGAATACTGGAGATGTGTGGCTCGCTTTCAGCTTTCGTCTAACATACGAAATCATTACCAGTTCCAAAAATGCACCCCGACGGCCGACAGTTCCTCTACGTTTTTTGACAGTGATATGAGAGCTAGGGACTTGAGAATTTGATAGGCAAACGCGCAACAACCTAATCCAAGTCAATAAAATAGTGCTGCACAAAAAATGTTCAAATCTTTCAGAATCTTCAGAAAAGCGACCCCAAGTCGTCAGATTGTCCGCCTGGGCCGGATGGGTCAACTAGCTGCATCGCGCCCCGGAATTCCTCTAGCTCATCGATGCCGAAGAGCTCTGACGAGGTTCTAGCTCCACCCCGCGCCGGAATTTCCCGAGCTGGTCTCTGCCGCAGAGCTCTCTACGAGGAATGCATTGGGTGCGCCTGCCAGATCTCCAGCTCATTTGCCGGCATGGCCGACCCGGCCCGGGGACTTCCTGCACTGGGAGCCGGCGATAAACCATCAACCAGGTTACCGCCTCGTGAAGCTCTTTTCTCGCGCGACGCTGCTTGGAACAAATTGAACCAAGCTTGCTCGAGCGCGAGCTGAAAAAACTCGAAAAAAAAACGCTTGTCGGTTTTTATGCATAGTCGGTTCCTTCAAGTGTTTTGATAGCAATACCTACGGACCTGACAATTTCACTGGCAGACGCGGCATGGCCCACTACAGGTGCGAGAATTGTTCTTAAACGGATTTCAAAATCTCTCACAATCTTCATAAACCGACCCCAGGACATCACATTGTCCGCCTGGGCCCCGTCGGCCAACTGGGAGCCAGCGGTAAACCGCCAACCGGGTTTTTTTCGTTTCGCGGACACACGGGCCCTAAGGCCCAGTCCAGTCCGAAGCGGGCGGGCACGCCAAACGCGGGCCACCGAGCGGCTAAGGCGAAAGCCTCACCACGCCAAGCGCGTGGGGGGCGGCTTAGGCGGTAGCCTCTGGCAGCTCTTATAAGGAGTGTGTACATCAACACAATGTGTGCACGCATGAAGGCAACAACACAAATGAGAATCATCAATCACACAACTTATCGCTAAAATAGGCCTGCAAAACCCGTGGGAGTGCTGCAATAACGCACTCTGCAGCGGAGAGTTCCGCATCCGTCACCGTGGACCCGTCTTGGAGAGCAAAGGAGCAAACATAAACGTCCTTGAAGATAATCTGTGGGGATTCACAGAAAGAAGAGGTGGGCGATAGATGGGAGAATCGAGATCGCAATCCAATATGAATCCAAGCTCCACTTCCAGCTCCCAGGCTGCACACACCACCATCAAAGCCCGCTTTGATGAGGCAAGGTTCGTAGCATGACTGTTCGTATGGCTGCAACTGGTACTGTTCGTTCGTGTATTGGTGGCCCTCGCGGGCCTGGTGGGTAAGGAGGTCGGCTTTCTCGTTCCATTCCCGAAACTCATGCTTGAGAAGATCGCGTCCTGCTTCAGCAGGTCTGACACCATACATACAACACATTCCTTCTAAAGAATTTATCATATTATCAACACGTGTCTGGTACAAGTGATTATCAGCCTTCCAGAGGCCGCAAAGCCAGCAAATGATAAGAAGAGAATCTCCTGTGATCTCCAACGGCACGCCTCCAGAAGTCACGTCCCAACAAGTGCTCTTCATATTGTGGATAGCTAATCTCTTACTGAATCGCAGGCGTGCAGCAGGAGAATCGTCATCTGTAACAACATACTCCTCATTTCGTTCAGCTAGAACGACGGGGGAGTTACCATCATGGATACCTTTGCATTTCTTCTGGAAAAGCTTGAGCATAGAGGGTGTACAATGATGAGCTGCAAACTGCATGAAGGCATGAAGGCCACCCTGGAATACTTCCCACCACCGTGGGCCAAAGAACTCATGAAAGGGGGTCTGCCAACAACGTTGTCCAATCGCTTGCCCTCCTGACCTCCAGCGTTGCATAACTCCGCATTCCCTCCACTTGCCGAAAGCACGAAGGGCTTCTCCCTCAAGTGTGCGCTGCGTGTCATAACTTATTCCAAAGGCAATCAAACACATGCGTGCATCACTCCATGCTCTGTGCTCGTCCGTCATGTCCTCTCCCTGATACAACCTCTGCGCGTATGCCGAGACATCCTTCGCCAGCAGCCACTGAGCCCGGAGAAATCTCTGGACCAAGCTGTGATACCCAGCCTCTGCGAACTTCGATCTGGCGGCGTTGTATCTTCTCTCATTCCATGTAGCATAGGATTCGTCTGGTTCTCGACGGCATCGAAGCATGAAGCATAAACACTTGCCCTCAAACGCGTGCAAGGCATGGAGGCTGTCCTTGTCGGCCGTGCAACCGTCCGCACCGAAAAGGGCAATACTCTGAACCTTTTGCTGGTACCGTAGGAACTTATCCTTTAGAGGCGTGCTATTGTTCCGAAAATATCCTGCCTGGGAATAAAATGTCCGACGAGCCGCCTCAATTCTAGAGTCCACGTCAAGGTGTGAGGAGTACTTATAGTCAGGGAACAGCTGGATGCCTAGAACCGTCATCTCCGTAACACGCCTGAACCGCATTACGTCATTCAGGAAGGGAACGAGCAAGTCGGCTGAAGATAGGATCTGCCCCTCAGCATCCCTCGCAGCGTCGGCTCCGAAGACCATGTAAAGCAAGCTTGAGGGTTTCCAGCGCATGCCGAAATCTTGGAGTCTAACAGTAAGGTCGTGAATCATGTGTGCCAATTCTTCCCTGCTTCGTGCCAAGATGTAGCAATTATCTGCCCATACGAAGTGATTGGCGACCGACGTGTAGGACGACTTGCCAGAATCCATGGGGCCTATCCCATTGTCGAAAGGTTTCCTGCCACATCGCAGCGATAATTAAATTGAAACCTAGGGGTCCCTCGGCTCCGCCCGTTCTAATACATCTATCCCATCTCACACCCTCCACCTCGATACTTTCATGGCAAACCGCACCCACACTATCACATAGTGGATCAAGAAATGCATATTGAAGATGGTAAGGTACATGTGCGTGCTGTAAACCCCGTCTAACATTGGCTACCGTGCAATGGTCGAAGGCCTGTAGGATATCTGCGTTGGCCAGATGTGCTGTTTCCCCCTTGCCCCATGTAGAAGCATGCTGGCCGATGTGTTTCAAGCTCGCCGTGATCTCGTTCGTGGCGCGATTAGATTGGAAGCCGTAAAGTCCGAGAGGGCGAAAGAGACTGTTTCGCTCGACATGTTGTTCCACCAAAATAACAATACATGTGCTATACCATCGTGCAATAGCGTTCTGCATACATAGAAGCCTACCGTCCTTAAGATCAGTGATGCCAGGAAGCTCGGGCATAAAGGAGATGAGGATATCACGCCATGAGGAGGGGCACGGTGTGCACATGTGTAGCATATCGTCGAACAGGCGTCGGATGTTGCGCAATACCGTCCAA